CTGTTTCCTCCATCCGATCTCTTTCTCATGCCAGTGTAAAGTCTTTCTGGAAAAGGTTCTTTCTAGAACTGTGCTTTCCACACAACTGATTGAACAGATTCGAAGGGTTGGAATTCTGCTGACATTTGTCAAGAAGGTGTGTGTCTTCTTGTGTATGCATAGGATGTTGTTGCTGTGGGATTGTTATTTTTCTGGTGGTGCTGGGTATTGAACGCAGGGCCTTGTACATGTGAGGCAAGCACTCTACCGCTGCAGCCATGCCCCAGCCCATGTGCTGCTTGTGTGACATGCTTTGAGATTAGGTGAGCCTTCTTATCTCACAAGTAGCCATGATGCCTGCCGTCTCTGTGCCGTGGTGGGACTGTCCCTCCCACCCAACGCTGATCCACAGTGAAACAGAGGCTCTGGAGAAGGGAGGGAAGAGGTGGTTAAGGGCCTGGTCTCCTGGTGTGTTCACAGGGGAGGAAGCTGAGGTCCGGCCTGCTCAGCTGTCTAGGACCAGGCTTAGAGTTCCCTACGCCTGCCCCTACCTTGAGCCGTGTCCCACCAGATGAGCGCTCCGCATTCTCACTTCCTGCTTTGTGTTTAATGTGTAATTAAGGGAAGAGAAAACACTAGCTGGCAGCTGTCTCTGGCACGCATGCTAAAATCTGGAAGGGCACATTAAAGCCGAGGGTTACGTGTGGTGGAGTCGCAGGACAGGCCCAAATGAGCGAGTAAGTGAATGGTTTGTGTGTCTGAAGCCAGAGGTAGCTCTCCAGGGACAGGTCCTGTGCCACCCGGTGTGGCAGGCCACTTCTGTGTCATTTCTCCACTGTATGTGGCTCCCCTGGCCACAGTCACTTTCTGGTTGAAGATGGCTGCTGGCGCATGCTCCATCTGACATTCCAGCCATCAGGGAGGAAGGAAAGTGAGGAAGTCACCCCTGGTGACCAAAAGAGCCTTCTTCAAAGGGGCACGTTCCAACTTCGTGTACCATAGTCAGCACCCACGGAGGATGAAGTGGTCCTGTGCTCTGAGTCGCCCGTGCCCTGCTGTGGCTCGAGGTTCTAGCGGTGGAAAGAGGAGGGAGCGGACCCTGGGCCGGCCAGCTACACAGATGCATTGCTTTCATACAGCGAGTAGTTCTTAGCTGTCTCCCCTGCGCCTAGGTATGGGGAAGGTGGGGAGAAAACAGACACAGACACAGTTCCTGTTCTTGGTCAGGCACCAGTCAAACATAAAGACAACTGTATAAACTGGAACAAGTGCTAAGGGGGGGGGTTGGGGGGGGTGAAGGGGGATGTGGGGGCAATCCTTCAGTTCTGAGGAAGAAAAACAGATTTGCCTAGCCTAGGCTTGGGACAGGGTCAGACCAAAGATGTTTGACGTTGAGAGCAGAAGAACGGAATCCGATGACCTAGGCCACAAGTGGAAGGAAAAATGTTCCAGACCCAGGGAGAGCCCAGGCAGAGCAGGGCCTAGCAGCGGCAGCGGACGCTGTAGCAGGCACGGACGGCAGGTCAAGAGGAGGACTCTAGGACAGACCCGAAGGTGGGGCTGCTGGCTCACCTTCCTCGGTTGCCTGGATGGAACACAGGCAGGGCCCCAAGTGTGGGAGGGAGAGTCCCAGGCAAGCCAGAGGCTGAGTGACGGCACAGATTCCTTCTTCATTATTAATATCTGAAAAGCCCTGCTTTTAGATGGGTTTAGCGCCCTTCTATAGGAAAGCTGTCAATCCACTAGGTAAAGCAGCCCCACAGAGGGGACCCAACACAGAAACCACACTGGACCAGTTAGAGCCCTTGACCCATGAAATTTTCGTTTATCTGCCTTGACTTCTGCTAATCATGACCTTGGACGTGAATCAGCCTGTGATGAGATATGTATTTGAGATAACAGAAGAAACCAGAGATTGGGGAAGCCCTTGCTCTGTGGCAGTTTCTCAACACACATTGAAATCTCCTGGGAGAGTCCGGCTCAGTGCATCACAAAATTCACAGGGGCACCAGAGGAGGCTCTGCCCCGCTACAGCCTCTCAGCCGTCCGTGTTACTGTGTTACTGCAGGTCACCCAGGGATCTCAACGTGACACAGATGTGGCTTTGGTGGATCCTCACATCTCAGAATTCAGGATTCCCAGATTCCCCCAATCTGCTTCTGAGAAGGCCTAGCGTGATGTTGATACCCGTTCCTGTAGATTTAGAGGGGCTGATGCACTGTCAGGTTTGATGAGTTTGTGTCTGAAGTCACTCCCATCTTTAGGACTGTGTAAAGTTAGAGGGGCTCAGGTGAGCCTCAGCTTCCCCGCTGCGCCCAGGGAGGGGTGGGGGTGACAGTGAGGGGCTTGGCTGAGAGCAGTGATGGGCGCCAACATTCTTGGTGACAGATGAACCAGGGTAGGGGCTTCTGGCTAGGGGGGTCTGAAAGATCATGGTGTGCCTTTAGTTTTCCTACCCCTTGATTAGGGGCCTTTCCAGCCCAGTCAGTGGTTGCCAGGATAGGAATCTTTCCTATCAATAAGAAAAGCCATGGAAAGATTTTTTTTTTAAATAGGATGTGACACAATCCATATACTTTTTTAAAGATATCAATCTGTTCTCGCTAGAGTGGAAAACAATTGGGGAAGCCAATTAGAAATGGTAACCATTAGCAACTGTGCCCAAATGATTCTGGTTAATGGGAAAATTGCTACTGCTGGGGAGAAAGTGGAGAGTGGCTTGCGCAGGGTAGGTCCCTCAGCGTGCGTGAGGTCACATAGGCGTCTTATGTGAAAGGCCTGCTGGATAGAAGCAGTGAGCCCAGTCACCTCACAGGATACCAGGCTCTGCCTGGGCCTGCAGCCACGGGAGCTACACACCCTGGGATTCCTTGCCCGTGTGGAAGGTCGTGCATCTTAGTTGAGGCTCTGTGGGCTTCCTTGCCATACTGAAGTCAAGCGTGGGCCTCCTCCTTCCTCAGGAGGAAGCAGGCCCAGATCCTGAGAGGAAAAGGAGATGGGGAAAGGGACAGAGAGAGGGAGGAGAGGCACAGGCCCAGCAGGTAAGCCCAGGCTGGCCTCGTAAATCTTCCAGTCCTACTGTTGCTCAGCCTTGGGGAGGAATGAAATAAGAGAGACTGAGGGGGGATGGCCGTGCCTGACCTCCAGAAAGAGCCTCTGCCTTCAGAAAAGGTTGAAACCCCAGCCCAGGTCCAAAGGGCTTTATGTGGCCAGCAGGTGGAACATGAGCTAGTTTATAGCTGTGTGTTTGGCGAGTCATAGCTCATGGGCTAAATTGCCCTTTGTTTTTTATGGCCTATGACCTATGACTGACCAAAGAAGAATACATCTTTCTACCATGAAAATAAAATGCAAATATTCCATTGTCCATAAACAAAGCTTTATTGCGACATAGCCCTGTGGTCTGCTGTCTTGGCTGCATCTCCACTGTAAGGCCGAGTTCCAGTGAGTGGGGTAGAGACCACATGGCTGATGGAACCCGAGGAACCTGTCCCCTGATCTAGAAGGAAGGTGACCCTTGTCCAGTCCTGACCTGGACATGGACAAGGAAACATGGACGCAGTTTAGGATATAAGGGGAACCCCTCTCCTCCCCCCCCAAAATAAACACCTCACAGGAGGGTTAGAGATATCTCACCTAGAAGAAAGGATGCTGAGTAGAAATGATGAAGCAGCAAGTTCAGAATTTGTCATTTGTGAATGATAATTAGTCATCCTCATTCTTGGAAGAGGAATTACGCAGTTGGTTTGGAGGACACTGGCCCTCAGTCCGAGTGTGGTTCAGCTGCAGACTCCTCCTCCCCTCTGGCGTCGGTTGGTTCATCTCAGAAATGAAGCATATTTGTGACAGCTCATCAGATGACTAGATCTACCCTGAATTGAATTCGGTGTTCTCTCTCTGGTTTCCTGTTTGCCGCGTGCCTCTTCCTCTTTATGTGTTCTTGTCTGTCCCAACTCTGCCTCACCAGAGCTGAGCCAGTGTTCGTGCCTTGCCTTCCCATCTAAACCTCTTTTCTTTATAGAGTTAAAGAAAGATGTCTTAGCGTTAGCTTCAGAGGAAGCAGGACCAGGCCTGCATGAAGACAAGGGCTGCGCCTCAGGTTGGGTAGAATCAGACCTCCAAGATGATTCCGATGTGTGTCTCACTCAACAGCCTGCCATTCTGTGAAAAATGGAAAAGGTTGTCAAAGCTATGAAACAAGATTCAGCCTAGTTCTTCATAACACTAGCCAGTAACGATTCGGGTGTGGTCACCAATCTGATCACGGCAGCAGCTTCTTCCTTAAAACCCTTTGGGGCCTTTCTGGACTCTGAGGCAAAATGTCAGCATCTTAAGTCATGGGCCTTGGTCTGCTGTCCCGGTCTGCTCACTTTTCTAGCCTAGTGAGCTCCTCATTCACAGTCCTCAGCTCAGCTTCACTTTGGAAGCTTTCTTCACCTGGTTGTGGTCAGATTCTCATTTCTTTCTCCTTGATGCTGACTCAGTGGGCTCCATTCCACGAGGAAGGTCCATCGGTGAACTGCTGCCAGGAGAGTTCCCTGTGGCATCAGCTCTAGATACAGCCTGACCTGTGTTTTTAGGGTTAGGATAAATATTGACCTATGAAGAGAAATGCTCTGAAGGAATGGACATGTAGTGTAGTGGTAAAGCATTTGTCTAGGGTGCATAGGGCCCTGTGTTTGAGCCTGAGCACTACCCAAAGGAGGGAGGGAAGAAGCAAGGAAGGACAAGAGAAAAAGGAAGAAATATTCTGCAAAAGAAAATGGACTTTCATAACTGGGTGCTGGTGGCTCACATCTACAATCCTAGCTACTCAGGAGGCTGAGATGAGATAGGAGGATTGCAGTTCGAATCCAGCCTGGGCAGAAAAGTCCTTGAGACTCTTATCTTTGCCTAACTGGCAAAAAGCCTGAAGTGGGTGTGTTGATCAAGTGCCAAAGTGCCAGGTTTCAGGAAAAAAAACAAGTTTTTGGTTCTGAGTTCATGCACAAAACAAACTCCTGTAAAAGGGAGAAGCGTCCATGACAGGTATAGTGTACATTTGGACAGTACTCTTAGTTTGTCTGTTTGTTTTTAAATATTTACTTCTGTGCCAGTCCTGAGGCTTAAATTCCCAGCCCGACACCCAGTCTTTTCAGCTCATGGTAGGCGTTGTACATTTCAGCCACACCTCCACTACCAGTTGTTGCTATTTTTTTTTAAATAAAGTGTTATACAGAGGGGTTACAAGTACATGAGTAGGGTAATGAGCATTGTTACTCCCCCCCTTTGTTCTCCCCCTACCATCACTTCCCTCCTTACCTTCCCAACTCCCCCCGCCCCCCCGGCCCCCAACATTGTAAAGTTCATTTTCAACGTAGTGTCCTGTGCATCTCCTTGTCACAATGGGTCAGCCTGCATCCCCATTTAAGTCTTCCCCAATATCCCTTCCCCTTCCCAAATATATATACATATATATATATATATATATATATATATATATATCACATTTTCGTGATCCATTCATCTACTGAGGGTCATCTGGGTTGGTTCCATATCTTAGCTATGGTAAGTAATACTGTGACAAACATGTTTGTGCTGGTAGCTTTGGTATGACCTTGTTTGTGATCCTTTGGGTAAATGCCCAAAAGTGGGATTGCTGGGTCATAGGTGAGCTCTATATGGAGTCTTTTGAGGAACCTCCATACTGCTTTCCAAACTGGTTGAACAAGTTTACACTCCCACCAAAAATGTAGTAAGGTTCCCTTTTGGCCACATCCCCTCCAGCATCTGTTGTTACTAGATTTCTTGATTCTAGCCATTTTAAAGGGGGTGAGGTGGAATCTCAATGTTGTCTTGATTTGCATTTCTTTTATGGCTAGGGAGGTTGAGCATTTCTTCCTGTGTCTATTGGCCATTCTTATTTCCTCTTCAGGGTAGTTTCTCTTTAAGTCTTGCCTCCTCCTTTGGGTACCAGTTGTTTTTGTTGGTTGATTGGAGTTAAGTCTGTCAGGTTGGTCTGCCTGGGCTGGCCTGGAACTGCAGTCTTCAGATCGCAACCTACTGAGGTGTGGCAATGAGGCGTGAGCTCCCAGCACCTGGTGTGGATCTTGCTTTTAGTTACTGTTCTGATCTTCTTTTTAGCTCCATGTGTTACCCAGTGGGCAGTTCTTTAGGGTACTCAAACCTGAGGTTTGTCCCAGATCCTGAACTAGAAAATGGCAGCAGGAAGACTCAAGCTTTGGGCACATTTTTTAAAAGTTATTTGTTTTTGCATGGTTGGATAAAATGGTTTTGTGCCTGGAATGTGGAATTCTGTGATTTCATGGAGGAATAGTGACAACTTGCCTTTCCACAGAGCACATCCCACCCACAGCTTTTCTGGATTTATTGTCGGTGGGCCTTTAAAATCACAAATGCAATTAGAACATTAAGATTACCTTTTACAATGCTGAATTGCCTTTAACACGCCTACAGGATGTACCCAGTAAAATGAAGACAACTCTGACTTAGGACATTATGAAAAGCACACGTACCCGATCCTCTCTCTGTTAGGCAGAGAGCAATTTCCTGTTATGTTATGGATGTGTTCGGGAGTCCCGGGTGAGACATGCCCCATCTGTGGGGTTGTGCTAACAGCTTAAGTAGGCTCACGTGACAGGCTACGGGTAAATGTCTTATTGCTCATGACTTTCAAGATAAAAACTTTCCACTTGGTGATTCTTTTCCTCAGCGATAATGATCTTGTTGCTGGCTTTAATATCTTCCTAAGTGAAAGGGCTGTCCTTGGTTCATTGAGCAGAATTAATACCTAAAATACAAAAGTTAGGTTTTTTGACCTCACCATTTCAAAGAGTAATTAAGATAGTGTTGACTTCTAGCCAGAATATGGACGCAAAGCAGGCAGAAACAGCTGTTGCTTATTTGTTTTTAACCTCAGCTTTTTTTTAAGTAGGGAAATTTTTACTGAAAGTCTGTTTCTCTGTCTGATATCTGGGACGTGTAAACTCAGTTGCCTTTTCTATCCTTCCAGCTCAGTTTGATGATCACTCCTTGGCCCATTCAGCGGCCTCTGAGACCCTCCTCTGGTTAGGAGAAAGTCAATGTGTTGGATGTGTTGTCTATATCGTGTACAGGGAGAAAGGACTGTGGTGCTGGTGCTGAGCCATGGATCAGTTTGGGACAGAGGGAGTAGATGAGGTTGAAGAAGATTTGTAGCCCCTGGGTATGTAAAGACAAAGAATTCACCATCGTGGACCCAGAAACAGCACTGCAAGTTTCAGAGGCGAACTGCTGAATTTTCCTCAGAAAGACTGTGCTGTCTAGGCCAGGATGATCTGTTTTCTGTGTTACCACTTAGTTTCCTGCTCTTCAGTGACTTTTGGTTTTGTTTTCAGGGTTTGGTAGCATTTTTTTTCCTGTTTAAATTATTTCAGCTTTGAAATGCAGTAGAGAATGAGGTGGAGGATGGAGCCCAAAGAATTTTGACCACAAAAAAGCAGTAGTAGTTACAGTAGTTCTCATCTGTCATGTTTAGTTGGCGTGATCACAGATCAGACGCAGTGTCAGATAGTTAGTTGCTTGGTTGGTTTTAGGAGGACCTAGAGTAATTCCTCAACAGCACCTGAACAACTGAAGTTTTATTTCTTCTGAGGGTGAGGTCTAGGATCTCACTGGTGTTTGGGGAGGGGGGCGGTGATGCATAATACATAGTTAGTAGTATAATACTGTTGTACTAGAAAGCTTAACAGTGAATTGTACTGTATTGTAGATTCATTTTAGCCACCACTCAAGCAGTTTAGTGCAAAAGGAGGACAAGGGAGTTTCCGTTTTTGTGTCTTCTGACGCAAGGATGCACAGGTCCTGCCACAGGGACCGGGTCCTTCATCCCAGACGTGTTCTCAGCCCTGGCTTGCTGTGCACACTTCCTAGACACTCTGCCAAAGCTTGCCCTGCTACACTCCCTTGTGTTCTTCTCATGCCATGAGCCTTTTCCCTCTCTCTCCATCATCAAGAAAATGTGAAGCCAGCCTGGGTAGGAAAGTCTGTGAACACTCACATCTCCACCATCAAAAAGCCAGAAGGGGAGTTGTGGCTCAAGTGGGAGAGCTCCAATTTTGAGTTAAAAAGCTAAGGGATAGTGCCCAGGCCCTGAGTTCAAGCCCTAATACCAATACACATAGCAAATAAATAATAAATAAATAAATCTGAAGATGTGAAGGAAATATAGCTTTTAATTTTTGAACATAAGAAGTATGACTGCATTTATAGGTGGCAGTGCTATGATGATTTAAATAACTCATGAACTGTTGAAACATGTAGACACTTACTTGAAAATTGCCCTCGTTAGTAACTAGACACATATTTTTAATTTGCTAGTAATATTTTTTTAGTTTCAAGTAAATTTTTTTTGGGGGGGTCCGGTCGTGGGCCTGAACTCTGGGCCTGGGTACTGTCCCTCAGCTCTTCAGTTCAAGGCTAGCACTCTACCACTTGAGCCACAGCGCCACTTCCAGCTTTTTTTTTGTTTCTGCTTATGTGGTGCTGAGGAATCGAACCCAGGGCCTCATGCATGCAAGGCAAGCGCTCTACCACTAAGCCACCTTCCCAGCCTCTCAAGTAAATTCTTTACTAAGTGAAAAATGCATGTTAAGTACTCAGTTAAAAAAAAAAACAAAAAGCGGGGCTGGGAAGGTGGCTCAGTGGTAGAGCGCTTGCCTTGCATGCCTGAGGCCCTGGGTTTGATTCCTCAGCACTACATAAGCAAAAAGAAAAAAGCCGGAAGTGGCGCTGTGGCTCAAGTGGTAGAGCGCTAGCCTTGAGCTGAAGAGCTGAGAGACAGCGCCCAGGCCCA